TTTTTTTTATTAGGGGAACATTACGCATCCATTCATGTTATTCTACAGGTAACATTCAAAGATAACGAAGCAGTTTCACAGCATCAATGAATACTGCTAGCTACTCAAGATGAAAGTGAACAAAGAACGTAAAAACTCTGCTTGGCAAATGCATTTTTGCTGCTTGGATTTTGTGCTGTGTTAATATTTGTTTCTGTACGATTTTAGTACATTTGAGACATTTCACTTGTTTTGTTAAAGATGGAAAAAAATGGCATGTACGGCAAATTTTTAAAAACTCAAACAATACCCAGTTCTACTTAATATGCATGTTTTTAACTGGGCTGAGATCTGAAACCCACTGTGGGTACCTGAGAAAATAACAGAAAACTGCTTAGAGGATTGTTACACACTTGCCTAAGAATACTTAAATGAAAAAAGAGAGCACTCTAAATAAACAAGTAAGCATGAGAAGTACAATTAATTGTTTTTATCAAGTGATACTAGTTTACTTTGACAAATTAGCGTGAATAACTGCTTTTACATGAACACTAACTGCATCTTTTTTTTTTTCTTCTGCTGTATAACTCTTGACTGGCACATTTCCTCTAGCCTGGGGAAATTTGGGGAACGTACTGAAGAACCAGGGCAAGATGGCGGAGGCAGAGAAGGCATACAGAAATGCTCTGCACTACCGAGGGAACATGGCTGACATGCTGTATAACCTGTGAGTGATAAAGATGCTCGTTCCGCCTCCTCGTGTTTGCATAGTCTTGACACAAACAAGTTCTGATTCCTACCATCCATCACTTTAGATCACTGTGGAAAAGGAAGAGAAAGGAGAGAGAAGAGAGCGCATATAGACACAGAGTGACTAGCAGGAAAAACTTACAGAGGGCACACAAGAATAGATCTAACACAGGAGAAGAAGCAAATGAAATACAGAGTATGGCTTGACGCAAGAGAGTTGTGTGTCCCTTGTGGCTCTTTGTACCTTCTGCTGCTGATTTGATTAGTCATGGTTTGCAGGGTTTGGGGGAACACAAAGACACTTAGAATCCTGCAACACAAGGTGTCACAGATGCCCAAACCTCATAGCAGACCCGTGTCTGTAACTCTCATGCAGACACTGTTTTCCTTCCCACTCCTCCGTTTCCTCTCAAGTTACGGGTGCCAAGAAACTGGCAAAGAAACAAAGAGAGAAGGGAAAACTGAAAGGTGTTTTGCATTCTTTAAAACAGAGGCGCTACCTGAGCTTGATGGATGGTTGGCTATATTGGGATTATATATTAGTATATGGGATACGGGAAGCAAAACCTGCCACTTTCACCACTCATTACTTTGATGAGAGGTTAAAGCTTACTTTGCATGCAGAGTTAACAGAAACTGTACTGCAGCTTGTCACATCTTTGCGTTTTTCTTGGACCAGGGGTTTGCTTCTGCAGGAGAATGAACGCTTTTCTGAAGCGCTGCGTTATTACAAACTTGCCATTGGGAGTCGGCCTACGCTGGCATGTAAGTAAATCTCGGAGAGTCTCATTTTCGTAAATGATCTATGAGGCGGTCAGCCGGAGGGGAAGAGCTGTCATCAATTAGACTTTTGGGTTAATTACACTTTAATTTTATTGCTGAGGTGGTTATTCTTGCATGGACATGTAAAGGGCCAGTGAAGTAATGCAATTCAGTCCTGCGCTTGAGTGTTCACATTAGATGAGGGTCCAGCTTTTACTCTACCAAGTAGAGTAGCTTTATTGTTAACTTTATCTCTTTTTTGGCATGTATTTATTTATGTGTCCTACTTTTCTCTGCTCTGACCTCAAGTTCTGCCTCTTTTAGGCTGTATTATCATGTTTTTCTGTGTAGATCGTCAAGTTTTTTTCTTTGTTTAAAGCTTTTTTTTTTATGTTTATTGCTCTTTTATTTACAGTTGATAATTATTTATTTGAACTGTTCTTTTTCCAGGGTGGAATAATTGTACAGCATATATATTTGACCTCAAAAAACAGGAATTTTGGCTGCACAAGTGTGAATTTATTTTGGATTTTCGTTAAGATCAAAACTACATACATGCTCAAATGTATGCACATTCTCATTTCCATCTTTTAATAAGAGGTGTTAAAGGTTCTACAATGCCTTTTAACGTGACGAGTTAAAGCCCTATTAACTTCTTGCTTGTGATCATGATTGACTACAACTTGCTGCTTCTGTTTGCAAACATTCATGCGCTCATTGGATTGACCAAAACTCAGAACAATGGGGAAGTCCAAGGAACAGGAGTGAAGCTCTAAGAAGGAATTGTAGATTTACACAAACTGAAAAATGTCTATATTACGATACCACTACTAATTCCAAGATCGCCTGCTTCAAATTCAACACCTTTAAGTTTGGCTGAAGTTTGTAGCTCACATGGACAAGTGAAATGCCTTATGGCAGGGGTTTCAAACTCCAGGCCTCGAGGGCCGGTGTCCTGCAGGTTTTAGATCTGTCCTTGAACCACAAACAGCTGATTTAAATGGCTAAATGACCTCCTCAACATGTCTTGAAGTTCTCCAGAGGCATGGTAACAGTAATCATTTGATTCTCTTGACCCAAGGTGATTTTCTAAAACCTGCAGGACACCGGCCCTCGAGGCCTGGAGTTCGACTCCCCTGCCTTTTGGCCAGATGAGATACAGATTGACCTATATGTCCACAATGATAACAGAGATGTTTGGGTGAGTAAAGGTGAGGCTTTCAAACTAATAACACTGTACCAGCTGTTAAGCATGGTGGTGGTAGCATCATGCTCCGGGGCTGTTTACTGCCAGTGGTAACGGGAGTAACAGTACACTGCACAAAGTGGATGGAATAATGAAGAAGGAAGACTACCTCTTCAAATTCACTTAAAATCAACAAATAGATGGTTTAAATGTGGGCACAATTGGGTGCTCCAACATTGTAATAATCCCAAACACACAGCAAAACTGGTTTTGGAGTGACTAACTTCTGTAATGGCTTTCCCAAAACCTGACCTCAACTCTATTGAAAATTTGTGGTCTTTGTTTAAAAGCCTGGTCTGTGCCAGGAAACAAACCAATTTCAATGACCTCTAGCAATCGTGCTGAGACGTGTGGTGAAAATTCTAAAATTGCCAGAAGCTTGTTTATTTATTCCAAAAGCGCCTGGTTGAGGTCAAACTTTCTAAGCGACATTTAACCATATATTAGTGAGGCTGTATGCATACATTTGAGCCTGTGTGTATAGTTTTGAACTTGTGGTGATTAGAGAAAGTCCAAAATAAATTCAGACTTGTTCACTCAGTTCTTGTTTTTTAAAGTCATTAAACATGGAAAAAGAAACAATTAAAAACAATGATTAAAACCCTAAAATTACCATGACGTTCTGTTCCATGATGAGTGTATGTAAACTTCTGAACACAAATGTATTTATGTCAAAAGATATTTTATATCATTTCACATGCCTTTAATTGAAACTGCTTTTTCTTCACTCTGAACTCACAGCGGCCTACTTGAATATAGGAATAATTTTGATGAACCAGGGCCACCTGGAAGAGGCCAAACGCACCTTCCTTACTTGTGCTGACATTTCCGATGAGAATTTGAAGGATCCTCACGCTCACAAGAACTCCGTCACCAGTTGCCTGTACAACCTGGGAAAACTGCTCCATGAACAGGGCCAGCAGGAGGTCAGTGTGTCCCGTTTGTGGGAAAAGGGCCCAGCGAATATTTGAAGGAGCTGAGAAGTACTTGTTTTGTATCTCAGCTTTCATAACATGAATAAACAGAGAAGGACCAAAATAATTTTTGTAACGCTTTCCATTAGGACTTTGTCCGTGCCACTTGTGATTTAACTACTTAGTTAAAGGCCACTATTATGGTGACGCGAACTGAAAACTGAACTAGCTGAATTAACTATTCTCTTTCTACAGGAGGCCTTGTCTATTTTCAAGGAGGCAGTGCAGAAAATGCCAAGGCAGTTTGCACCACACAGCCTTTTCAACATGATGGGTAAGCGACTACCTTTTTTTCATCTATAATATCTGTTTTAAACAGTAATAAAAAAAAAAATCTATTTTTAAAAATCACTACAAAGATGATTCCTGCCTGAAATGTTAATAAGCATCTCGATGAGATAACGCTACCATTTGAGCTATAAAATTACACATTCATGAGCTGTGAAGAACACAGTAATAATGTGCGTAAAAGCTGTGCAATCTGACATTATTGTTCCCGTCTCAAGTGTTGGCCTTCTGGCTTGTGAGAGCTTAAAATGTGAGTTAAAGAAATTGCCATTTAATCATTGCCGAGGAACCCCACCTGTTGGATTCCACCACTGTAACTCATAAACGATGTGTGCACACACTTTGTGTCCTCTTGAGGAGAAGTGAAGCTCATCTGTGGAACGAGTCACATCCCCCTCTTTGTTATTGTAACACTAATTACATTATTGTAAACTCATCCCGATGACATAGTTGAGATTGCAGGGAGATGTCTGCATAAATTCCTTTGACAGGCAGGCTGAAGGAAAATAAGATTTGTGTTTAGTCAGGTGGAGAGAGGAATTAAGGAAGAGTGTTTGGATTAGTGTAATGGGAGGGGATACTGAGTATATGTCATCAGCCTATCTTCTTACTCTAGGGGCCAAGAGCATGCCCTCACATCCAACAACATCTCTGAGTTTTTATAACCAGCTTTTGTCCTTTCAGCGAAATTTCAGATATATCTACATTGTGGTCACTTCAGTCAGCATGGGGTTAAGAAGAATTTGAAGTTGCTCAAATGACCTATTACAGCGAGCCATTATAATGAGAAGCAGCATTACATCATTATCTGTTTATCTCAGATAGGGAGATCCAGACAGCGCAGAGTTAACATCCATGAATAAATTAATCAGTTAGACTTCCAGCAAGTTCTGCTGTTAGATGAAGTTCAAAGAGCTTCACAGATGACTGACGAGCTAATAACAAGTCAGAATAAATGTAATAAAAACAATGCAATTAATTATAGATTAAAAGCACCTTAAAGAAGACTAAAAAGACAAAAAAGAGGAGAAGAATCAAATAGGATAAAATAAGCACCCTTAAATAGATTAATATTGTAGGAGCTACAAAAACTGACTGGAAAAATGAAATGCTGAAATAAAAGAGAAAAAAAGAGTAAGAACAATTATAAGTGTAATATATAGTACAGAGTGCAACAGTGCTCACCCACTTTTGTAAAGGCTCCAAATCTAATAACTGATTGCCCATTCAGTTTCCCCATTGATGTTTCTGAACGTCCTTGCTTAAAAAATGTTTTAAGCCTTGAACCAAGCCAAAACTGACCTCCATAAATCAGGGGTGTCACTGTTCCAATTTAGTATTGTGAGTTTTTGTTATGAGCACATGCCATCACATAACAAAGGCTCAGCTTATATTAAGTCTTCTTTGGATGATTCTAACACTATGGCTCATAATCAAGAATATGAGAATATGAATGAGATCTTTACCTCTAGAACCTCACTGTACTCAATTCTAAAATATGGTATTATATTTATGTTGTTGTTTTTTAGTTTTTTTTCTTGTACTTTAATCAAGAACAGGTTCTTATTTTCACTGAAAAAGGCAAAGCCCCTTGATGAAATAAGTGTGTAAATACAAGCAAGTGTACAAGGGTCAAAACACCAGGGTGAGTGGGAAGCTAAGAGTGTTGGTGAATATGGCTTAAGCCAGATAGTTTAGCACATGTTTTTGTGTTTGGGGAGGCAAGGTGGCCAAGTGTGGCACCACCTAGGCACCACCTACATTTTTTTTAATAAAAAAAAATCTTAAAATGCATATGCTAAAAAAACACAAAACAAGTTCCTTTTATTATTGATATTTTCCATTCTCCTCTCTCCTTTCAGGAGAAGCCTACATGAGGCTGAACAGGCTGGAGGAAGCAGGTCACTGGTACAGAGAGTCCCTCAGGGTCAAGCCTGACCACATCCCTGCCCACCTCACTTATGGAAAACTGCTATCCATCATTGTATGTTCCCTTACAGACACACACACACACACTCACACAGAAAGAAGCAGAAGACAAAGCATTATCTTAGTAATGACTGCAGTGGTTAACTATGTGGCAGAGTGTAATTAAATGGGACCTGGAGTGGCACAGTGGAATGATGAATAATGTATATAGAGCAACTTATGGGGCACTGGAGCAAGGCGAACCCATCCTATTGATTTCCCTGCAGAGACTGAAGAGCTGTGATAACTGTTATTACATATGGGCTTTCTGAGTATGAAAGGCAAGGGTGGATTCAAATGCATGAATTCATTGTGTGTGACCCTTGCAGCTACTAGTTGGACAGAACTTTCACACTTTTCACACACTTTTCACACACTTTCCACACAGTGTGAAAGAAAAAAAACTGAAGGCAGAAATGTTAAATAGATTTTGGGTGACCTTAGGATGATCCTGATCCAGGACTGATGCCAACAAACTGCTGTGTTGGAGCAGGGTAAATACATGGCTGACATCTGAAGGTCAGGGAAGCAGGTAGTTTTTCTGGTGTGGATGAGAGCGATCCCTCTGTGATTGGATGACCCTGATAAACCATGTTTCTTTTTTTTTCTGTCTTTCATTACATGTGCCTGTATATTCATGGGAGTGTTAGAAGACATTCAAGGACACTTTACTCACACACTTCTAAATGTTAAACTTCCTGTCACTTCCTGTACTTCCTCCACCTCTCCCATTCCATTAAACAAAAACAAATACACATGCATGTGACAGATGTGTGAGCAGCTGAGTCAAGTTTAGATTTGGGAGACAAACTGTGTTTCCTGCGTAACCTTTTTTAACGACGCTGACCTCTCTCCTTCCACGCCTTAGGGTGCTGAATACAAACACAACCGAACTGAAGTTACAAAACCGTTATGTGCACACTGGCAGCTGCAAACCCTAAGGGCTTTAAACCTTACCTCTGACCAGTTCCCCGTCTTTGCTGAAAGATTTAAAGATATGCAGCATACGCACACACACCTTAAGTAGGTTCACATTAGAGTCACCGAGGGTGGCCGGACATCTGCTCTGCTCCCTTATGCTCAAGGGGCTCCAGATCTATGCACTCACCACGAGGCCACCTCCACTACTAGAGGGCTTAAGAAACTTGAGATTGGATGGGCTCGGGACAATAGGCCAGTGGATGGGCTTATTATTCAATTACTCCCCTTCCTTATTGAATCACTCCATCGGCTACATTTCTGGCCATCCTGCTAGAGTCAATCGACAATACAGACAGGGGAAGGAAAGGTCAAACTCGAGCCTTGTACTGTGGTTCACCCCAGCCTGCACTGTTTTTCTTTGAAACGTGGAATATTTTAGCTCGAAAGCGACCACATTTCAGCTTTCAAAGTTGCCCACAAAAAAGCTACATGTGTAAATCCACAAAATAATAGGCAGAACCTGATAGTCTCGCACACGTCCACATCCGTGTGCAAATAACAAGTGCAACTCCAAAGCCGCTAGTGTACTCTTTCCACTATATTACAGGCCTCCTTGTCTGTCAGACGTATCTTGCTGGAGTCAGAGTGGTGTGGTGTGCATTAAGGAAATTTGTGGTCATTCAACACCATGAGACTTATGACTTTAATCTCAGCCGTATATTTAGATAATTCGGCGCTAATTCTAGCTATGGTCTCGCACTGTGGAAGACCGCACGATAAAGTACGTAGAAGCACCTAAACTAACCTTTTACTCCGCTACAAATCACGGAATATCCTTTTGATAGTTGTTTGAAAATCATCCTTTTTCCACTGACCTGAACCCGTCCATAAATCTGCTAAATGATGATTTGCTTCTACCTAAATGGACTGAACCACTGTACTTTCTGATGGATGTTTAGGGAAAAGGTTTAATTGAATGTAAAGAGTATGGAGCCAAAGAAAATGTGAAATAAGCCATCTATGCCTGATATTCGGTCATTCAGAGCGATTGGCGGCACTGGGAGAAGCTAATGAAGCAAGCCTAATGAGCCCTGCCCTGTCATTTCTTGTTGCATGACAAGTCCGCTGGCAATATAGAAGCAATCGGCGCTGACGTGTGAAACAAAAGAGATGGAGAAATTCAGCCTCGTGAACAGAGGCAATAGAGTCTGCACACAGATGCGCCCACACCAACACCTTGGAGGTTTTTCCTCTAACGGTTTGGCATGAGAGATTGTGCGGCTGTGTTTTTTAATAGCGTCTCTTTTCTGCAGATACGAAGAAGTTGGGTTGCTCTGACTCAAATGAGGCCTGCTGATGCACTACAGTTTTTCAGATGCAAAGAAATACATGCTCAGGCCCAGCTATACATATTGTGTGTTATATAATATGTACTGTGTGTGGTCAGCATAATCTATACCATTTTAAACCATGTCAAAACAATAGTGTTGTGGTTTAAACATTCACCATTTGCCTAGCGTCCCTGTTCCATCCTGGGAGGAGATGCAAATCCCTTTGGGTTTGCGTCAGGAAAGGCATCTGGTAGAAAAAGTGTACGAAATAAAACATGTTGCGCTACCTACTGTGGTGAACCCTTGTGAATACGGGAGCAGCTGAAAGTAGGTTTAGCTTTTTTTAAGGTTTATGTTTTTAACCCTTTGTTTTAATCTTTAATATGTATATTAGATTTCAGAGCTGTCTTTACAGCTAAAAATAATTAATTTGATGGGATTTACCCCGAAGTGCATTTATTTCAGTATGCTTTCTTTCAGGCCTGCAGTGTTCAGGTTATGTTGTATAAGTGGAATAATCAAGGATGTAACAAAAACCTCTCAAAAAAAACCTCATGTTCAACCATCATTTATAATGACTTGAGTTGCTTTTTGCTTTTTAAGGGGCAGAAAACAGAAGCGGAGAGATATTACCTGAGAGCTATTCAGCTAGACCCGACGAAAGGAAACTGCTACATGCACTACGGTAAGAAATATATTAAAGATTTATTTAGAGACACGTTAAACAAAGCCTGTTTAAAAATAGATATTCTAATTATAAAACCATGAATGCCTTTATCTTCAAAGGTGTCTGCCTGTAGTTGACGGACAGTTTTGAAGTTATTTTAGCGACAATCTAGTTTGAAGTGTTTCTCTACCAGCTAAATCATGCATGGCTGCCAGTACTGTAAGGCGTTGCATTAATACGGTTATGATCGGCCTCTGCTGCCTTCAGCTGTGCTCACACTCGCAATTCTTTACCCTCCACAAACCAAGACAAGAACTTGATGGTAATCACCCTGAGAGTGCAATTAAATTTACCATGTCATTTGACAAATAATGTTATAAACCACACTGGTTCCACTCTGATTGCTTATGTAACTCGATAAGAATTATAGGGGAAAAAAAATCAAAGCTGGGAGTTAATAATCCAGAAATGTCGAATCTCTCAGCGCTTTTATTAGAGTTCTGTAAAATAATGGCGGTAACACGCTGTCATTTCATTTTTTATTTGTTCATATCAGTGCTGGCACTGTTGGAGCTGTTTGAAGCGTTGCAGATGGTGCAAACACACTCAGAAAAAGCCACGTATGCTGCGTTTATCTGCGTGAGAAGACAGAGTCTGAATACACATTTTACGATTGTTAAACACGGTACCGTGTTCCTCCCACGCCGCTATTATTGAGGCTTTTCATATCAGCTTGGAGGAACAGATTCCCTTCTGCTCCAAGGAGCTATCTCCGGGATATTCATAGGAAATGAATTCTGTGTTATCCCGCTCAAAGCACCATTGTGCATTGTCCCTTTCTCCTGTTATCTCCTTCTATTCCTCCTGGTGCTTTCTCCGCACTGATATCTTTGGTTTTGAATTTAGATTGGTCAGTGTGTGAAGGGTCTGTCTGCTGCTGACTTTGGACGAAGCAGTTTCCCCTTCTGAAGTCTTTACGCTCTTTCTCTCCATTTTCTTTTTTTCCAATGTTATCTTGTAGCTTTTTGCTGTAAGTGATGTTTATTTGGGCTGCCTCCTCCCTTTATCGCACATCTGGCCGCCTTTGCTATCCTGGGGTCAGTGGATGATCTCCAGGTGTGAGTATGTTAGGAGTGATGCTATCTGTTCACATTATAGAACACCAAATACACGTACAAAGATGTGCTCGGAAGGAAGGACACAGAGGGTGAAAGCTAAAACAAAGACCCCTTTCCTGTCATTGTTCTCATTTTAATGCAGAACCATTTCTAGGTAGTCTCCTTCGGAGTGCGCTTGGTTTTCGGGAATCTCAGGCAAACACAGTTAGCATTCAGTGCAAGAATGCAAACAGGCATACACCTGAGTTTATCCCTACATTGCAATTTTTTCCAGCATTCAGTAACATCTGTGGTTAGGCTTGGCTGTTCATTTGTAGCCGCTGGTGCAGGGAGTTGAAGGTGCTGAACCTGGTGGCAAGACTCACACAGGAAAACCCATGAAAACCTGCGTCTGATCTGTGTTCTCAAACGCTGCAGAGCAAAACAACAATCCTTCAGTCTATCACTGTCTGACTTGTCTCCTGCTTTCCCTGCCTCTTTTTCTGTCTCACTCATTTCTTACTCAGCTTCCATTCATCTTCGTTTCTTTACACACCAGTCACCATCTTTGCCTGTCATTACTCTTCTACAAGATGTCCCCATCTCATTCCAATCCCATTGGTTTGCTGCAGTGCGATAACGAGGAATACAGTTGTGCATTTGCTTGGTAAAATTGAAAAGGAAACAAAAGTCCCCGTAGCTCTGGTATCTTTATTTTGTATATAAAGATATGCTTAGGCACAGTTATTTTTAAAACTAAATGCTAATGTCAGTATGCCAGAATTTTCAGTGTTGATGCAAAAAAGTCTTATTAGTAGTAGGAATAAATTGAAATTTTAAACTAATAATGGCCCTATATGAAATGTACTAAAATATTTCTACATCTAGTAGATGAATTGAATCTGAAGCATAATGATACATGTTCTGGGCACTATCAATATATTTCAATTAAGAGACATCATTTGGAAAAAACTGACAGGATTTATTGAGATACAGAATTCAGCTTATCTGTTTTAAAATTAGGAGTCTAGAAGCTGCAGGTGGGGAAGATGGAGGCTTGGATGGGGTTCTGGATGACCAATGTGAGGCAGATATGGGGAGGACGTGTCTCGCACAAATAACAGTCTGAAAGACAGAATGACAGAAAAGCACTGACATTTAAAGCACAGAGAACAAAGCTTATTAGCTTGCAAAATGTGCAAAATGATGTCAGTATTGAGTCTGACGGCATGGGAAAATGGAAGAGATGTAAAGAAAAGATTAGCAGCTGAACACCTAGGAAGCAGACGGATGAGTGATTACAGATCTTCCATACTGGACTTACGAATAAGCTCTATTTCTGTGACACTGGAGCTAACAGGTTCTTAACAGAACTTCTGCTACCCTCATCTTTCTTTCTTTTCAGGACAATTTCTGTTGGAGCAGTCCCGTCTTGGCGAGGCTGCGGAGATGGCGGAAAGAGCCGCAGAATTGGACAACTTTGAGTTTGATGTGGTCTTCAGTGCTGCTCATATGCTCAGGTTGGCTAAAATCGCCACTTTGAAAAAGCTGTGTTTCCGTGTGGGGATTCCCTTACTAGTACAGAATTTTGAATGAACAGATATTTCAAGGAATTACGGTGTTTTGGAAATTCATTATTTGCTGAGTTTGCCCTCATGCTGCCTCAACATTTGTGGGTTTTGTTCTTTACCACTGCCGTTTAAAAGCCATCTTTTCAAATATAAATTATACCAGCGTTACAGAATAGTAAAATGTCCTCTCAGTGGAAAAGCTGCTGGTAAAGTTTTTATGTATTACATATATAAATGGAAGTGGTGAGGTTTCTGTGCACGGCTTGTAAAGAAGCCATAGGAGAATTTTTCCCTCAAAGTTTGGCAACCGTGTACACGGACAGCTTATAAATCTTAAAATGTGTCAAAAGGGACTGCAAATGTCCTCTACTCCCAGCAACTGAGGGAAAATATTGGAATGATGAACCTTAACTCATTTTTGCTCTACATATCTGGAAAAGTCATTTCTTCTCTGAAGCATCTCAGTGCGCTGCCACAGAGGGTTTGTAAAAAGTTAAAGTCTAAGGGCTTGACTGAGGTTTGCATTCGAGAACCGAAGGATAAATCTAAATGACAAGTCATTCCTTCGAGTTCTGATCCGACTGGTTATTTTAAGATGAGACCCTCGGGACATAAATCCAAACAGATTAGGATTAGTGTTTATTGATATGACGCCCACCTGTCAAAGCTAAAGCTGTCCTGCCTGATAATAAAGATAAGCTACAAACCGGGGCTTGCTTTATGTGCAGTGACTGACTGAGCATACACAGGATGATAAGAATGACCTGACAATCCAGTGCAATGTAGGATTTGCCTGTAATTGTTCTGCACAAACTAACTCTAAATACACATCATGCAAGTGTAACATTAGCTGTTAAGTGACGTGTTTTACAGACACAAATCTATGCTTTATTTTACAGGCTGAGGATTAGGAAGTCTGCAATTTTCTAATCAGAAAAAGAAGGAAATGACTTTACTTTTGACCTCCCTGATACCTAAAGATTTTGACTTTAAATGTGGCTTCCTGTAACTTTATCTGTTATTTAATGACTCTCTAGCACTTCCCCAAACAAAACAAAGACCAAGGAAGGACACTAGGAGATGACTATGATATCCATAATGTGCCCTTTATTTTAAAGCCTTATAAATACAAATTAGCATGTCAGGAAGGAAGGGCTTTATTAACTTTGGCACAGCAAAGTCCAGATCATGTACTCCATGAATAATGTTAGTGTAGAGCCGATTAACTACTGCTACTGTACATACCCAGCCGTAAAATGTCGGGGAGGACTTTTGGTGCTTTAGGCAGTCTTGGCATCAACATCGTCTGCTTCTCTTTATCTATTTATACATGAGAACCTCAAAGTAAGGCCTAATGTGGTGAATCAGTGTCCAAACACATGATCCCATTTATGTCAAGCCTATTTGCCGCTTGTGCCAGAATATTGTTTACCAGTGGCTATATTAGAAGCTCCAGTATTTTACAACATCACTGCAGTAGGCAAAGAGTTTGTACTGTCATTTGACAATTACGTGAGACAGAATGTAAGCAAGTCTTTCAAACCAGTAAGTCATTTTTTAAGCCTTGGCAGGTACAAATAGTAGTATAATTTTCACTATGACTTGCTATTCAGTCAAATACTTTAACGCAGTGTGTAAAAATGTAGTGTTATATTGTTGTATTGTATTATACAAATTGAGTCGATCTGTATTTACTTAAAATAAGAGTTAAAAGCAGCAGTTACTAACTTGAGGTTCAAGACCCTCTTTAGAAATTTGATCTCGCTAATGACTTGAAAAATTGTTAATTATAATTGTCAGAAACGGCCCAAAAATGTAATTGTGAGCTTACTGTGTGTGTGTGTGTGTGTGTGTGTGTGTGTGAAATTTTCTTAGCTTAAGTATCATTGTGCCTATTAGTACTACACCAGCAGAATTTAAATGACACTAATGACCACATGAATTAATTTGACTATGTATGAGTGAAATCATACACATTTCTTTCTTCCGTTAAATGAACAATATTCACGATAATTTATATACTAAGAAGCTTAACAATGAGTGAATACAATCATTAGCTGGAAAATATATTAGTTTTTATCACTGATAAAAATATCTTATAATGTGCAAATTTTTTACTCTCCGCTCTTCTTTCTCTTCAGACAGGCCAATCTAAACGAGGCGGCGGAAAGGCAGTACAAGCGTGCAGCCAGCCTCAGACCAGATGTAAGTACCTGGACTGGTAGGCCTGTTAGCACTTATCATTGAAATGCACACACACGCCTGCACTGTAAATTCAATTTACAACATACTATGTATTACCCATCATTCTGACATTACGTTATAGTACTGTTGTTCCTGGCAAGCAGTGATAGTGCTGGAAATGAAATGGAAACTGTGTTCTGGTCATGCCTGTGAACTGGTACCTTTATACAACCAACCAAATTCCAAGTGAGAAAAGAGCTTAGTGATTCTGTTGTCTGACACTGAAGTCACACTCTTAGCTTCAGAGTAAATGCTTGATCATAACACTATGGTTAAACAGACCAAGCTTTGCAGAGATCATGTCTCTTGATGTCTGCACAAGTGGTTGAGGAAGTTGGGAGCTATTATAGCCTGTGTGTCTGGTATACCTCAGTCACTTCAAAGGGAAAGGGTGCATGGACCAGTCTGTGGAAGGTGATTTAGAGTTATAGGAACCCCTGTGTTGTTAGACAAGGTCTGAAGGAGCTTCCTGGAGTCATTTATTATGTTAGTGTGCTTACTGATGCCCTGCTCTGTGACTTATGTTCAGTTGTATGATGGGGTTAGACCTCATCCTGCCTCCACTGCATTAACTGGTGTAAGTCTATAAGGCTACACCTTTTATAGCAGCGTTTCCCAACGTGTTTGTCTAACACATTGTGCAAACGTCTTGGGCCAACTCTTATTAATTTATAGTTTATTCCAAGTTAAACTACTTAACACTGACCTTTGCCTCATCCAAGCAACAAAAGGATGAGCCAGTGTTGTCTCTAGACATAGCAGACATCTTAGCAAAGAACACATTTTAAATTGCATATTTAGGTCATTTGCTACCAAATCAACTGGCTCAAGAAAAACCTACCCTGGTAACAAAATTTGTTAATATGTGTAATATTTAACCCTTAAATGGCTATCGAGAATGTATAAGCTATTAATTCAAATTGATCAATCAAGTGGCAGTGAGATTTTTCCATCAATCCAGATTAAAACTTCTGAAAACAAATATGCTTAAACACCTTCAAAATGACTAAAAGCTTCAACTTAGAACTTATACAATACAAAATTTTGAAAACTGTTTAACAGCGGGGTGCATGTGAGCTTTTAAAGTCCTTCAAGAAACCTGGAGAACTATTTCTAAAGACTTTTTAAAGAAATTAGAAGAAAGTTTGCCTGTTAGAGAGTTCAGGCAGTGCTGAACAATGTTAAATAATAAACGTGGTCACAGTACTGTTGCTCCACAGTTTCACAAGTTAAACACAAGTAACTTAGAACTGGTAAGATTATCATATATGACCTCGGAAAACAAAAATGTTTTATTAAATTTAGTTCTAACTAACCATGAACTATAACTGTTTTTATTAGGAATTTGATATATTTTATGGTAGTTAGGCATTTATGCAGCTAGCTGGCTAGCTACATGCTAGCTCCTTCTGCTTTCTACTTATGACCTTTACTTAGTTCAACCTTGGAGACTGACTCACATATCAGTTCTGGAGACTTATTTTAGCTAAACAGTTTAGGTCTTATCCACTCCATTCAGGTAACAGTTAGTCATAATATAGCCAAGTCATGTAGCTAACCCTCTTGTATAGTTTCTGTTTAGTTGTATATCAGCTAATGTATCCTTTGCCCCAGCTAGTTCTCTAACTTTGCTGAAAATGGAGACTAGCAATATAATACTTGTGACCTTTGCTCTAACAGCCTTTGTGCTTGTTATTCCTACAAGGAATTTCATTTACGTTGCCTCGTGTTCCCATATTGGTGCTGTTCCTGTTACTATGGCCCTTAATTCTTTACTTTTAGAGAGCTTTTTAAAATAAGCTAATCTGACCTACTGCCGTAGGGAATATCTATAGGCTTGGTATTACTATTTTATACAATCTGACACTTTTAAAGAGAAGGGCTGCCTTTCTCTTTATATCCTGTTTAAGCCTTAAGAGCTCAGTCAGATCTTTGACTAGAAGAATACTGGTTGTCCATTTTAATTTGAAAAGCTGTGTGTTTACATTTTGTTCTGTAAGAAATATGTTTCTTCAATCCCAGTCATTATAATTCAGTCTTAAAGCCTTCACATGCACTTTCAGACACACTGAAGGGCTCTTCTTTTCATTTTTCAGGACTATAGTGCCTCTTCTCTTTGACATTTTCCCTGCACATGTCTGCTTAGTGAATGACAGTCTCTCAAATATCGGCTTAATCCAATAGCTTTCAGGTCATGAAAGATTCAGCTCTGGCTTTACGTGCTAAGAAAAGCAATGAATATGTGCCCCCAGAGAAAGGTGCGAGGGTGTTTTTCATTTTACACACTAAAACGCCGTATTTACCCACTCTGAGATTCATCACAAGTATAATGTCGAGTCTGAGCAGAACAGGCAATGCTTCCAGCGTGTGAAAATTGTATAATAATGACACAGTACATGTCTTGCTCCCGGCAAATCAAAAATTATGATACGATGAGGTTATGTTGTAATTTGTATGCGCTTAAGATCATAATCCCTCAAGATTTCAGTGCTGGTGGATGTGGCTGCACCTGTCATTACTGTGGTAACAGTGAGTGTGATTTAATACTATAACAAATGTCCTCTGAGAAAGAGAATTGAACAGAATATGCTGGATAATGTGATTATATTCCACTGTGGCTTAAAGGCCTCTTCTCAAAAGCTGTGGATCAGAGGTCAATACTTTCTTTTTTGTCACAGAGGGTAAAAATACAGAAACTTTTACCCTCAAACTGCCTGTTTTCTTTCGTCTGTCCAATTCTATAGTCCCATGATTGGCTTTGGTGTGATTTAATATGCCAGTGTGTTGCACATTTCCCTGAATAACAAAGGAACACTCATTAAGACTAAGAGTAAGTTTGCCTCTCCTGCCTACAAAATTCCTGTATGGGCAATAACTGAGGATCTCTGAAATTCTGAAATATGACATTTAATTATAATTATTGTCCTTTTTTGTGTGGGTGAGAAAAACAAAAAGTTAGCTGTATAGCTGTTTTCCTGTAAAAACTGCAGTTAATCAACAGCTTTCCAACATTCTCACTGCTTTAAATAATCAAGCTCTATATGTGTGCATTTGTTGAGTGTGCTCACAATCACTGAAAAGTGGAACGTAAACAAGTGAAAAATCCATGCTGAGGAGAGGCAAACAGTTGTGTTCATGCTGGGAAAATCTTTTGATTTACTTTCCAAGTTAGTAACAACATGTCATGCAGTGGGGATGCAGTCCTGGGAACGAGGCCAGGCCTGGGCGATTAGGTGCAGATGATTTTGAAGATGAGATATGGGTGTATTTGTTAGTTACGGATGGCTATGACTTAAAATTTGTAGATCCCCACAACTGCACTGCTTTTCAGGGTCATATGGTTTCACTTTGCAACTTAAAAGTATGGCATTTTAATCAAGAGGACTCCAGAAACACTCTTCTCAATGGGTTTGATCGTGCATATCACAATAAATACTGAGCCCTTGCCCACACACAATCTGTAGCTACCTTTTTGTTTACTGTGGCATTGTTAGAGGACATACTCCTATCTATTTGATCTGCACAGAGAGATTGCGTTCTATCTAATTTAATGGGTATTTGATTTTCTTAAAGGAGGGCCTAAAATAAATTTCACCAGAGCCCTTTCTTTAATCTACCATCCAGACCTGGCAAGCTTCCTAAATTGTGTATATCACATCATTTTCTGTGTCAGATGCAGAAATAACAAGGGCAGGTTTAAAATGGTTTGCCCAAATAAATACAAGGTCAGCACTGTTGCAAAAGTATGACAATCCTGTATCTTATCACCCTTATGCCTAACATCCACTGCTCCCTTCTTTTTTTTTCTGTTTTTTATTCCAGTACCCAGCTGCTCTGATGAACCTTGGTGCCATCCTCCACCTGAATGGGAAACTTACCGAAGCAGAAGCCAACTACCTGCGGGCTCTCCAGCTCAAACCTGATGATGTCATTACACAGTCGAACCTGCGGAAGCTGTGGAACATCATGGAGCGGCAGGGACTCAGGACTAAACGCGTGCTCGGGATGCAGAAAGGCGATGTTTGAACTCCTCCCTCACTGATGATGTCATGTCCTTCAGAGATATGAAAGAGCTGGTGGCTCAAATTTCACTAAAGACTATTTCTTTAGCGATTCAGCTCGCAGTGCTTGTGAAAGACACTTTGAAGGTTTGAGGGCTGGGATTCAGTGGGCATGTGCTGCCTCACAGTATGCCATATTGCCATATGGTAGCTCAAACTACTAAAACAAACTTCTTTTGCATACATTTTTTTTTATAAAATGCTATGATGTTAAATATACATTGAAGTCAAAAAGCAAATAATTTGAAAGTCCCCCAAAAATTCTTTAAGGTCTCAAATATCAGCTAATTGTTAGTTGATATAATCTAAACATCTGGCATGATTTAGAGCACTTGATTTAATAAGAGCATACATTCAGGTGTTAATTCTTACAGAATAGATTTTAAAGCGTGGGCACTGATGGGTAAATTACTCAAGTTGTTTCATTATATCAGCTAGTTTAACTGAAAGATGGACTTCACTACCACACTTGTACATGTCAGATTCTATTTGCAGGTCGTAGGGAGAACTACTGTGTGTGTGAAAACTTGTGTAAAGTCTTTTGTTGCTCCCAAAGGAGCAAGTGATGTCACTTCAGTCAGTGCTGATTGAGGCTGAAGACTACAGGTGTGAAAGTTGAAGGGATTCTGGGGGGCAGGAGTTACAAAGAAGCAAGCTTAACAGGCCAGAAGCATCTCTATTTAAGTTTTGTTGCTTGTGGCACAAAATTGAGTTTTGACCAAATTGTTGTCTGTTAAGCTGCATTATGGACAATGTAAGCACCATTTTTTTGGTTGTTTTGGACAAGGAAGAATGTCTTCTTTTGCTTAACTGCCCAGTGATAATGTTGTAAGGGTGCAATCCTAAATAGGTGGATTATTTTTTCATTTTTATAATTTTTTTGTAAAGAAAGGAAACGAAATCCCTGATGGATTGCTCAGGATAGTCTAGCTTTGAATTTGTCTCCTAACACACTCAATTAAACATTAAAAGCATGCAAGTGCATAAACATCTTCTAGAACCGCCTTCAGATAAAGTGCTTTACATTGCTCCGAGCACATAAAGGAATAGGTTTGGGCATAATGTGCAGCCAAACACGTCACTGACGATTGTTTGCACGTGGTGCATTTTAAATTCTCGTGACTGTAATGATTAAAAATTCCTCAGTGGTGCCAAAGCTTGTACTGAGTCTTTACACCTCTCGTGCCAAGCAAGAACTTCTCTTCACTCCTGTGTTCCTCGTGTCAAATAAAGATGTTACATTTCATGTGATCAAATTTAATTTATTAATATGTTATTTTCTTGTGAATATGCCAACACTGTGCCGTTTCATTGTCGTATCTGCCCACCCTTTCTCATTCCTCCCAATAGATAGGCTACAGTAGGCAAAATGACAACTATATTGAAATGGTTTCATATGTGTATTTTTGTTCTCTCTGCTCAGGGACATCAGGTTGTGATTCCTGTCACAGAAATAGTTTGTGACACAGAGAGAGCTTTTAAAGGATTTTAGAGTTTTATGCTTTTTTTTCCTGATGATTGTGATGTTTGGTTAAATTAAAGGAAATGTGTAGCTTAAACAGTGTTGTGTTTTGTAAAAGTGAACCTTTTTCATAATAAAAAAATGTTTTGTTTTTTTTTATTTTAGTGCTCCATAATGTCGTCCAGGATGCAAGTCAAAAGCATAAATTTCAGACAGAAGTCTGTGGTCACAAGGATACATAAACTCACCCTAGAACCAGGGTGGAATGATTATACAGCATACAATTTCACAATAAAATAGGGTGAACAAGATTACATTTATTTTGGAATTTTGCTAATTCTCACAGGGTCAAATGTATACATAGAAGCTCAAATACATGCAATAAAATCTTTTGATAAGTGGTACGGAAGGTTCTACAATATCTTTTAAAATTATAAGGCCTATTAACTAAATGTTAAAGATCAAGATTGACTACAACTGGTAGTTACTCTTTGCCGGAATAAAAAGCATTTGCTTGATAGCACTCATTGGAACGACCAATACTCAGAACATTGAGAAAGTCTAAGGAACTCAGTGAAAAGCTAAGGAAATTTGTAGATTTTTACAGGGTGGGAATGGCTCTAGGAACCATTTCTAATCAGCTGCAGATTCCAAGATTATCAGTTTAAACCATTGTGTGTGAATATTTGTATGTGTCACCATTTTATTAAGGTCTGGAAGAAGACAGAAACTGTCACCCATCAGATGAGAGGTTCCTGAACATCTTAACCAAAGCCTGCCATGAACTGGAAACTGCTGGAACACCAGTGTCCCTGTCCACATTGAAGTGAGTTTTACATCGCTGTGGACTGAGAGTGTGCTGACCAAGACACAAGGTCTTGCTCCAAAATCAACACCTTCGAGCTCGACTGAAATTTGCAGCTGCCCACATGGACAAGCCAAAGGCCTTCTAAAGAAATGTTTTATGGTAAGGCCACACAAAGACTCACCTGTTTGGCCACAGTTGCGTAAACGTAAAGGTAAGCTTTCAAACCTGAGAATACGGTACCAACTATCAAGCACGGTGGTGGTAGAATAGAATGGATAAAGCAGGCTGACATTAAGCTTCTGGAATAGCCTTTGAAAGTCCCAAACTCAACCCTACTGAAAATGTGTGGACTATGTTAGGAAACCAACCAATTAAAATGACCAAGAAGAGTGGTCACATATCCAGCTACTATTTCCAGAACCTTGTTGATGTCTGCCAAAATTGGTTGGTTGAGGTGCAGTTTGCATTTAACTAAATATAAGTGGGGATGCCTGTATATTATTGAACTTGCATGTATAATTTTGACCTTGAGTGGATTACAGAAAATCCATAATAAATCTAAACATTTGCACCTAATTCTTGTTTTTTTGAAGTCATCAAAGATCTAAGCTGTACATCCTGGAAAAAAACAGCTCAAAGAATTCAATAAAAACCCCAAATTACTGTGACATTCATGTAAATGATAAATGTATGTAAACTTCTGACTAAAACATGTTGTTGAGAGTCAACATTTGTTTGCACCCCAAAGCACAAATCATAAATGCAGTTTCTGTGCAGCTATGGATCTTTGTATTTCTTGTCGTGAACTGAATGCTGTCTCTTGATTTAAACAGCCTAACCAGAAGAACAAATTTACAATTATTACCAATGTTTGCATTGTATCCAGCCTCACCAAATGTTATAGAAACACATTTGTCCAGAACACTAAACCTTTCCCCTAAAAAATGAAGTCAAAATATAAGTGTTAGCTCAAGCATCAAAGTACGTACCAAGCCCCCGAGGCTAGATTTGCACATGTAATAGAGAGCTGACAAGACTAATTACAGACAGAGCTGGTTTGACAAGACTAGTGTGAAGGGTAATAAGTCTTCCACAAGTCTTCTGAGAAGTGACAGGGTTAGTACTATATGTCAGATTGGTGGTATATAAAATGCCATATGAACAGCAGCTGAATACATGAATTACCATAAAGCATTAGGAATGAAGATATATATCAACAGCGTTCAGCCATCAGGGTCTTCTCTTGTGTAACCAACTGCTAGTTTAAGAGACAGGCACCCTCTTGGAGTTGTTCCTCCATTATCTCAGTTATGCTGCTTCAGGCCCCTGCTGCTGTGGGATCTCCCACTGCACCTCTCCTCTACTCTTCAGTCTTCATATTTATTGACTCTGTGTCCACTCTGTGCTTCCTTTGTACATTTCTGTACATAATGTTTGTTGTGAAGTTGCACATTTCTGACCTGCTGTTACCGGCGTGACCAACCTTCTGTGGCCCACACAACACTAAACACAATACTTTTAACATAGCTGTAATGTATGTTTGTTGCTGCCACGCCAGATATGACATTTTAATCATGAGTTTGATTAAAAATGCTAGTTTTAACCTTTGTATTGAATTAATTAGTTTGTGTCTCCTCTCCAGGCTGTACTTAGCTTCCATCTGGTTTGGACCTAGGAGCTGCTAAATCAGTCCAGGCCCTTTTGAGCACTTCCTTTGCAGTGGTGGGGGGTGGGGGATTGTATTTCAGGGATTTTCAGATTATAATTTCTGCTTTTACTCAAATATATTTTGGTTTTATTTTCTGCACTTATATTTTTAAGCTTTAGTCTACTGTTTTGGTGATAAACTGTGTTGTTATAAGTCATACTATCCATACTATCCAGTATTATATGGTATATGGTATATGGTATATGCAATGAAACCATTAGGAGCTGCAGCATTGAAAAGATACACATGAATACATTTATAATTATGATCAGTTAATATCATGTGTATTTTGTATATAAATAATATGTATATGTATATGTTAGTCTGACAAGTGTCACTCCACATAATGAGCACTTTTACTTTCGGTACTGGATAACAACCACAGATAAACAGACTTCATGTAGTTAAAGTACACAGTTTGCCTCATGCTATGCTCAGGACAGTAGGAGCAAACAGTTCCTATTGCAACAACGCTTTTTTTTTTGTGGGAGTAGATCATCCAGGAGAACACTGGACAGTCAATCAGCAGGTGGAGTTTTCCTCACTCCCAGCTGGATCATTGCTGCTCAGACCGGGGCTTGCAATACGGCAGCATCAGCTCTCCTTTTTATTAATGGCATGACCATGACCACGACATGCCCCAGCTCAGGTAGCTCCGGCACCATCTCTGATATTCTGATAAAGGTCAATGTGATAAATAAAATAAATTGAAGCTAAATTAAGCTTTTTTTTAAATTATTTTTTTAAGAGCATTCAAGACCCAAAATTGAATTATCAAGTACCACATTCCAGGATTTATTTCATCTCATGAAGACTCTCAACAATGTTGAGTATTTGAGAACTGAAATGTAATTTTCTCTCCGACCCTGTTACCTACTCTTGGTTTCATTAGAAGTGAATAGTGCCACAGTCTCAGTCTCCCCGCTCTGTCACTGACACACACGCACACATACTGATCCACTAATTAGAGTTGGTCTTTTCATAAACTCAACATGTTGATATCATCTGATCAAGCAGACATCAAAGACTTTGTAATCACATGCCAGACTCTCTGAGCACACCAAGCTGTAAATATTTAAGAGGATATCAAACTTGACTCACTTATTGAGTTGAATGAACTCAAAGTCCTAGTTTCTAACATTTTAAAGTGTGCATTCCAAGTTAGCATAAGTCTGTAAGGACATATTTTGTTATGTAATAA